TGGCGCTGGCCACATGCACTGAGGCTGCAGGTTCATACCCAGCCCAGGCCAGCTAACCAACAATGAGAACTGGAAAAAAAAAAAAAAAGCTGGGCATTGTGGTGAGTGCCTATAGTCCCAGCACCTTGGGAGGCTAAGGCAAGAGAATCACTTAAGCTCAAGAGTTTGAGGTTGATGTGAGCTGTGATGCCATGGCATTCTACTAAGGGTGACAATGTGTCTCAAAAAAAAAAAAAAAAAGACAAACTGATGATGCAAATACAGTTTGCCATAATCACAGTCACATTGATATATATATATATAAATTCTATTGTAGTGGGGCAGCGCCTGTGGCTCAAAGGAGTAAGGCACTGGCCCCATATGCTGGAGGTGGTGGGTTCAAACCCAGCCCCGGACAAAAAAAATTCTATTGTAGTTTTAAATAGTAAAATAAGATTAATTCATGTTTATTCTGCAACAGTGCACACTTGTTCCCTTCCTAATATTGCCTATGCTGTTAAGGAGACATGGAAAAGTAAAATTTATTAAAAGATAAATTTTAATTCAACTAAGACTTTATATTTTTAAAAAGTATGTTGGTTATGTTTTTGTAATTTTACTTATAAAATGACAGAGTTTTTATTTATTTTATTTTATTTTATTTTATTTTATTTTTTGAGACAGAGTCTCACATTGTCACCCAGGCTAGAGTGCTGTAGCATCATAGCTCACAGCAACCTCAAACCCTTAGGCTTAAGCGATTCTCTTGCCTTAGCCTCCAGAGTATCTGGGACTATAGCTGTGCCTACCACAGAGTAGCTGTGCCCACCACAATACCCAGCTACTTTTTAGAGATGCTGGGGTCTCGTTTTTGCTCAGGCTGGTCTCAAACTTGTAAGCTCAGGCAATCCACCCGCTTCTGCCTCCCAGAGTGCTAGGATTACAGGTATGAGCAACGCACCTGGCCCAATAGGGTTTTTTGGTTTGTTTGTTTGTTTTGAGATGGAGTCTCATTATGTTGCCCTTGGTAGAGTGCTGTGGTATCACAGCTCACAGCAACCTCAAACTTTTGGGCTTGATTTCCTTGCCTCAGCCTCCCAAGTAGCTGGGACTACAGGCACCCACCACAACACCCTGCTATTTTTCGGTTGCAGTCGTCATTGTTGTTTAGCCAGGCCAGGCCAGAACACGCCAGCCTCAGTGTATGAGGCTGGCGCCCTACTCACTGAGCTACGGGTGCCAAGACCCCAACAGGATTTTTAAAAAGTTTTCTAAAGGTCTGATTTCACCACTGTTATGTTTATAAAATGCTTTTCTAAATATTATGCCAAAAAATGTCTGAGGGGCTATTAACTTTGCTTTGCCATAAAATGCTTAATATTCACAAAAACTAGTTCTGGCCAGGAGAATGTGCCTTGTATGTGAATGTCCATTCAACATCTATGGCACTGAGATAAAAAAGGCTAAAAAATTACCATGTCATCAATAAATTCTAATAAAACTCATGATAAGATCAGCGGCAGTTCAAAATGGACACTACAGAAGACCAAAGCAAGACTTCTAAGTAATATTATCTACAATAAACTACATATTTATTCTACACCAAGTCCAAGATCCTTTTTTTTTTTCTCACTTTATTGCCCTTGGTAGAATGCTGTGGTGTCACAGCTCACAGCAACCTCTAACTCCTGGGCTTAGGCAATTCTCTTGCCTCAGCCTTCTGAGGCAGTTTGGCCGGGGCCAGGTTTGAACCTGCCACCCTCGGTATATGGGGCCGGCGCCCTACTCACTGAGCCACAGGCGCTGCCCCAAGTCCAAGATCTTTACTATGCTACTCCTAAGCAGAACAACAACAAAACAGAAAGAAATCTGTACTATCTCATTTGGAGATGACTTGCTAAGGTACGGTTACAAAGAAATATGTATCTTAGAGAACACTGATAGTTTTGTTAGGTTATATATTGTCTGGATAAAGAGGTATATGTCTTATTGAAATAAAAAAAAATTTTTTTTTGGAGACAGAGTCTCAAGCTGTCCCCCTGGGTAGAGTGCTGTGGCATCACAGCTCACAGCAACCTCAAACTCTTGGGCTTAAGCGATTCCTTGCCTCAGCCTCCCAAGTAGCTGGGACCACAGGCGCCCACCACAACACCTGGCTTTTTTTTTTTTTTTTTGGTTATAGTTGTCATTGTTTGGCTGGCCAGGCTGAATTGGAGCCTGCCAGGTCCGGTGCATGTAGCTGGTGCCCTAGCTGCTTAAGCTACAGGCACTGAGCCTTTACTTAGAACTTTTATGTCTTCTACATTCATAAGCGGAATGAACTTTCTTTCTCTCTCTCTCTCTTTCTTTCTCTTGTTGTCCAAGCAACAGAGCAGTAACATCATCATAGTTCACTGCAGCTTCAAACTCCTGGGCCCCAGCAATCCTCCTGCCTAAGCCTCCCAAATTACTAGGACTACAGGCACGTGCCACCACACCTGGCTAATTCTTTTTTTTTTTTTTTGAGGCAGAGTCTCAAGCTATCTCTCCAGGTAGAGTGCTGTGGTGTCACAGCTCACAGCAACCTCAAACTCTTGGGCTTAAGCGATTCCTTGCCTCAGCCTCCCAAGTAGCTGGGACTACAGGTGGCTGCCACAAAGCTCGGCTATTTTGTTGTTGTTGCAGTTGTCATTGTTGTTTTTAGCTGGCCTGGGCCAGGTACAAATCTGCCAGCCTCTGTGTATGTGGCCAGCACCTTACTCACTGTTTTGTTGTTGTTGTTGTTGTTGTTTGTTTTTTTGAGACAGAGTCTCACTATGTTGCTCTTGGTAGAGTACTGTGGCATCACAGCTCACAGCAACCTCAAACTCTTAGGCGTAAGTAATTCTTTTGCCTCAGTCTCCCAAGTAGCTGGGACAAGAAGCACCTGCCACAACACCCTGCTATATTTTTAGTGCAGTTGTATTATTGTTTAGCTGGCCCAGGCTGGATTTGAACCTGCCAGCCTTGGTGTATATGGCTGGCGCCTTAACTGCTGTCCTACGGGCACTGAGCCTAATTTTTTTTTTTAAATAGAAATGGGGTCTTCGGCTGGGTGTGGTGGCTCACACCTGTAATCCTAGTACTCTAGGAGGCTGAGGTGGATGGATTGCCTGAGCTCACAGGTTTGAGACCAGCCTGAGCCAGAGCAAAAACTCATCTCTAAAAATAGCCAAGCGTTGTGGTGGGTGCCTGTCTTCCCAGCTCCTTGGGAGGCTGAAGCAAAAGAATCACTTGAGGTTGCTGTGAGCTTTGACATCACTGCACTCTACCAAGGGTGACAAAATGAGACTTTATCTCAAAAAAAAAAAAAAAGAAAGAAAGAAAGAAAGAAAGAAAAAGAAATGGGATCTTAATAATTGCCCAATCTGGTCTTAAACTCCTGGCCTCAAGCAATCCTCTGCCTGAGGCTTCTGTGGAAGGATTCTGTGCTAGGATTACCAGCATGAGCCACTGCAACCAGTCAATTTTTTCATTTATCGCTTTGTCTTTACTGATTTGGGAGCCAAGATCACATTGGTTTAATCAAATGATCTAGTAAGCTTTTGCTATTTTCTAATTTTCTGGAACAACTTATATGAGAGAGAAATCAACTATTCCTACTTCCTTGAAAGTTTGTTACAACTATAGAAACTTGTAAATTTTTTGCTACCATGAATCCTCTCAGTTCCCCTCCAAAAAACACTTTTCTGCTGTTTACCACGGGTTTTGAATGATTTGATTTAAAGCAAGGGATACAATGTTTTCCTTCCCCAGGTGGCTACAGATAAAGTACCCATAGCCCTGGATAATGGCACAGGATACCCACAGTCATCCACCTCCCCCCAGACTGTCAATAATTTTATTCTCCTCAAATAAAAGAGTTGAACCCCTCCACCCAGGTTCCCTTAGCACTGACCTTTTACCTTCTAGTAGGTGACCAAGCCTCCTAACTTGACTGAGAAAAGGTAGGGACCAGCCTCTCGAATCTCACCTGCATATTTACACTGACTCTATATTCACACCCGATCACACTTTCCACCAGTCTCAGAAAATGAGGTAAACGTGCTTCAAATCCCCTTTTTTAGACATCCCCTCTCTCTCCTGAAATTCAAACTCTCCCTTACTACAGGGTTCCTTCTCTTTGGTCTGAAAACATCCTCAAAGCTCCTCCATCCTAAAAAAAAAAAAGAAAAGATCCCTCCTTTGTGTGCAGTGGCAGCCATTCTCTGCATTGCAGGTGGGAGTGTATATTGGCAAGATCTTTCTGGGAAGCAATTTGGTAACCCGAATCAAAAGTCGGAAAAATATGTGCACCCTTTGTCCCAGTAATCCTACCTCGAGAAATCCATCTAAGGAAATAATCATAAATGCTGAAGATGTTAATCTCACTGTTATCATAACAGTACAAGTTGGAAACGATCTAAAGATTCAGCAATGGGGGCAACTTAAATACATTGTACTTAAACCATCATGAAATGTTGTACAATCACTAAAAATATAGTTTTAAGAAGAATAATTGAACGGGAAACTCCAGGAAGCCATTTTATAGGGGAAAACGGCAGCACATGAACAATAGATACGATATAGAGTTGATTTTGTTCCATGTAAAAATAGTTAACGCTTCTGGAATGTTGGCTATTACCTAGGGCATACATTCTCTCACTCCTCACATTCCTCTACGGTTATTACTGTTATTCACATTTCGTAGGGAAAGAAACCAACATTGACATCTATGGGGAGCTGATGAATTGTATTTTTTATTCTCTTTTGTATTTTCCAATTCTTCAACAAGGAAGCCTTTTTATATTTTGTCCATCATTAGTCCTGAATCATTATTCCTCTTTCTGGTTTATAAACGCTAGTAATGAATAATTTGAACAAGGCAGAGAAAATGAAACTGCGGACAGTTTGGCTTTTGTATTTATATTTGCGTCTAAAACGGATACGTAGTCACGGGCACTTTGAACAGCAGCCTTGATCATCTTTCCATGGCAATACATACAAACTACAATTTGAGCCCTTTAAGTATCTGCATTTGGCGTCCAGGGGTCGCTGTCCTGAGAGAGCACATCCAGGGCCCCTTTCTGCGGGAGCGACGGGTTTACTTTTGCCAAGTGGTGACATGTCTGGCTGCGCCGCGCCACCTCAAGAGCTCCGGGTTTGGGGCCGGGAGAACTGAGGTCCTGTCCTAACTCTGCCGTTTACCAGCTCTGCTAATCACCTTTTTTTTCTCCGGAAGCCTATTTCCCCATCTTTCAGACACGATAACAGTTTGTGTTTTGCTCCCTTTAAGGGGACATGGTGCTGTTCCAAGAAGCTGATGGGTGTTATTGGTTGAGTGTTACACGCAAAGCTGTCCTCTGGGCAGCCTTGGGGCTCCTGCATCCTGTCCCTCCTACCCATCTCTTGGCTGCCTCAAGAATCCTTCAACCTGTCTCAAGCAGAGACGAGGGGCCAGAGGGCCACAAGCGGGGAAGGGACCTAGTCACCAGACAAGAGCTAGAGGCCCAGAGTCTGGCTTTGGGGCTCTCCCGCCCACTCAAGAGTCCTATGATAAGCAGCCGCGGAGGGGGAGGACTTTCCGTGTGGCAGTGCGTAAAGTAGGCGCTAGATAGTGCAGAGAGAGCGGAGAAAGCGCTGGAGGCTGAAAGAACGCAGCTCAGCGGCCACTTCCTACACGCTTTCCAGGCTCTGCAGGCGCGCGGCTGCTCGGACCGGGTCTCCTCCGCGCAGCCGCCGCCCTCTGGTGGCAGCGTGCGGGAGCTACGGCTGCTCGCCCGGCCCCGCC